TTAATTTATCTAACAATTATTTCCTGTAAAATATTGTTGTAAATGTAAAATAGCAACTCAAAAATATTGGACAGACTCGGCCAACAAATGACGTAACTGAAAGAATCCCATACTAATGACATTAACATATAGTTTGGCAGTTCCATTTAATCAGTGTTAAATGTTTACATTCGGGCGAGTGACATATTTTATTTATGTTTATGATCCATACCGTTCCTGTTCTAATAATCATGTAGTATTTAATATGTTTGGACCAGCTGTGTGGAATTGTGAAATCAAAATTATTTTGACAGTTAGTTCTGCTTGTTTACATTTTTAAATTTTGCGGGTTTTTTCTTTGTAACCATGGATACCATCAATAAATATTTCACTTTTAATTTCTGACAACAGCTGGAATTCCATAACAAATTTTGTTTCCCATGTTAATCTTATGGATAGATACGAAACTTTAAAGGGCCCCAGGGCCTCACTCTCTAATTATTTCCCTAAAAAGAAAGTTTCCTGCACAATTTCACGTTACGCTCTTTTCAACGACACCAAAAACATGTCAATCGGTTCAGTAGTTTCGGAGGAGTAATTGTCACAAAAAACCTGCTTGCGTATTAAATAAGTACTAGTGTACATGTTGCTCGAAATCGAGCAATTGCAAAGAAGTACAGGAGTTATTTACAAACAAATTACTTGGTTGAAAACTTATAACAGTCATAATTTCCAATGATTTTAAAAGAGCAAAAGAGCCAACTAAAAGATTATCAACCAATGGAAATACTTACAATTTACATAACAGTCCTTTTCCATTTTAAAGGGTGAATTTTTACCTAAGTTATCTAGCCAATTTGTAGACAATAAGGTGTAGGCTACTTTAAACTCTACAGGACAGAGTTAGGCAATAACTGGCAGAAATCTGAAATGGTGTTATTTATCATAGGCTTAGTCATATGCCAAATCCTTAAAACTTAAAATAAAAATTTAATAACTAACTTATATCATTAAACACAAACCAACATCCAAAACTATACACATTTTTAATACAACTTCGATAATTTACACATTGACTGTTTACAACATATCTTTTTCTTCTCACTATTAATTTTTGCTTCGCAACGGGAAAAATTTGTTTCATAATTATTGAAATAGATTTATAATAATCTATCATATAGTTTAAGATTAAATACACCTACCACATAGTTGTTTTATTTTTTTTATCAGCTGTCTAAAATTGTGAAATAGGCATTTGACAGTTCTAGTTGTTTACATTTAAATGTCAAAGCAAAAGTAAACATTGTGAATTTTCTCATGCTTCCATGGAGACCAATTATCAATATTTAATTTCTGACAACAGCTAGAGTTTCAAAACAATTTTTGTTTCCCATGTTAATCTTATGGAGAAATACGAAACTTTAAAGGGCCCCAGGGCCTCACTCTCTAATTATTTCCCTAAAAAGAAAGTTTCCTGCACAACTTCACGTTATTCTCTTTCCAATGACACCAAAAACATGTCAATCGGTTCAGTAGTTTCGGAGGAGTAATTGTCACAAAATTCCTGCTTGCGTATTAAATAAGTATAGATAGATAAAGGGATTCTGCACATATACAGAAAATTATCTTTCTAACAGTAAGCGTAGATTTTTCCTGCGATGCACACAGGCTGAGATGAAAGGTTTTCAAGAATCTAGCTGGTCTATTATATAGGATTTTTCCTTCTAACATACGATAATACACAACAATGACAAAACTAGTGGAAGGCGTAGGTTTCGGTAGGGAATGTCGTCTAGTAGCAGTTGTAACTGGTATATTTACCACTCAGTACTGTTAATTAAAGTAAGTGACCGTGCGCTTTGAAATCTGGAACGTTTTCAAAAATAAGGAGAGCTTATCTTTCCACAGTCGAAAGGATGTTTTACCAGGGCGTTTGCCAAATTTGTTAACACACTGTAAACACGTTTTGGTCAAATAAAACTATGCTTTATCGCTCAAAATTAGGAGTTCTGTACACGTGGGTATTAAAATATGTTAAATGAAAGACTATTCTATTTGTATAAGATATGTTTGCCCTTTAAATAATATCTTTCGTCGACGAACTAAATGCGTTTTGACGTCTTTTGCTAAGGACATTTCAACGAGCGTGTATAATAAGCTTAACTTTGGTGTGAAAATAAATATACAACTGTCTTAACCTCTCTTCCAAAATAGCGCAACCACCATGATTCTTACTTTATGCAATTCCTATTTCATGAACGCTCTTAATTCAAGGCAAGGACTGCGGTATTTCAACGCTGTGAGGTTCATTTACTTAGCTGAAGTTTCTTAAATGATACGAATTTTATGACCACAACTGATTCAAAATAACTTTAAACTTTCCTCTGGAGATTAACTATGACCATGAAATGTTACGTCTAATCGGTGTTGGATAGCCTACTTCAACTAGTTTTCCAAATACTGTATTACTATCTATTCCTAGTTGTGGGATACTCCGTTACAAAGCACTGACAAACCGCTAAGTTTAGTAACCGTTTGTAAACTAAATTCTTGTATCAACCCGTTAGTCAAGTTTCTGGATGGTTTAAACCAGCTTTGAGTGAATTACTTGCAGTTCATTGGTTGGAAATCGCAGTCACAAAGAACACACCCTACCATATTTCACAATATTATATCTACTAACATGATGAGGAATATTACATGTTAACGTTGTGTATTATGTGTATTTTTCACTAAGTAAATTTGCAAAACATTTCATTTATAGCGAATGCTTTGGCTCACAACTAAGCCTTGCTAAGCTTTATAAACATTTCCAACACAACGTCATTTCAGAATGGAATTATAAAACACGTTGGCGTGAACGTTCAAGTCAACACGCAGCATGAGCCGTAGCCGCTGTCGACAATATAGTTGAGTTTATTTACTTTGGATCTGGCGTGTTACCAATCAGATCGCTGGCTTAGACAATAAGTTAAAACAATCTTACTGTAGACAATAATAGGTTTTTTACATACCTCAGTCAAATAGTCCAAAAAATGGTATTGCTCAACAGCTTACATGTTTCGTTGCGAAGACAACATTATCAAAGCTTGCAACTCGTCAAAAACACATTTCAAACACGAACACGAACACAGAAGACATTAATACGGTACGAATACACAATTGACATTTAGAGTGTATTCGTACCGTATTAATGTCTTCTGTGTTCGTGTTCGTGTTTTAAATGTGTTTTTGACGAGTTGCAAGCTTTGATAATGTTGTCTTCGCAACGAAACATGTAAGCTGTTGAGCAATACCATTTTTTGGACTATTTGACTGAGGTATGTAAAAAACCTATTATTGTCTTAACAATATAGTCCAGGGGCCGAAAACATGAATTTTGAATCTTACTGTAGCCGTGTCGTGTGTTAATATATTCCTCTAGCTTACCCCATAAAAAATTTTAAGTCGGTAGACTTTAGTTATCAGACCTGGATTAAAATATTCTGTTAAACTACAAAGTGTCTTGATAAAAACCCCTAAATATGATACAAACGTCAGACGTACTGGTACCGGTAACTATTTTGTCAAAAAATGTTAATTTTATTAGAAAAAACTTTGTATCAACTCAAATTTTTATTTATAAGATCCTAAAGTGTCATAACTAATTTAGGTAAACCGATTATGATCATATCAAATCATTTTTATAATGGACATTTACTTGCATCGACATTGTCAGTGGAGCAGAACATAACTATAACATTTCAATATTGAATATTCATTGTCGAAATATTCCGAGTAAACATTATATAGATAACATATATAAATCTATCATACCTCTTTTTGCATACATTCAAATCTGTGGAGACTAAAATGCTAAAATTGCTCTATTTATTTGTTGTTAGTTGTATATTGTTATTGACGAAAGTTGTTCTGAGAAGCAGTATTTGTACTGAGAAACGCTTGATAAATAAAGGCATTTTTATTTATTTTATTTATTATTAAAATGTTTAACGAGAATAAAAAAACCAATGTCATACTAATTCAATTTTGACGTAAAGACACAATATTGTCACTTGTATTAATTATAGATTTATTACTTATTGACAGTGAACCAAAGTAGAATATGCGTCATCAAACAATATGTATTAACTTGTATACCAATTCCATTTCATATGGCAGCAATAATTAATATTTATCTTTAAACATTTTCAAGACGTGATATAAGTGTGTCAATTAGAAACTGAGTCAACTAGCTTTTCCCATTTTCTTTTTTTTTTTTACAAAAAAAGCATAAAGTGCAATAATTTATGATGCCCTACCCTGTAAAATATTAAAGCCTTATTACTCAACAAAGGGTATAAACCTATTCACATATAAATAAATATATACGGTGCTTTAAATTGACATTAATAATCCATTGTTTCCTCATAACATAATTCTAGGAAACTGTGTTTGGAGGAGATTATTAAAACACCTCTATCTAATTGTATTTCTAGAGGAATTTCCTAGTAATTTAAATCACAAAACAATCTATCATATTACAAAATTGATTTTTTCAATCAATATGTTTACAGGGAAAATGCAACGTCGTCCATGATTAAGACTTCGATTAATCTGCCGGCGTTATAGGTAAACACAAACAAAATACTGTAAAGTGTATTTTAGCTTAAAGATGTTACATTTTAACATTTTAGCATTCTTTTCACAAAATTGTGTAAGTACCAACACAATACTAACCGATTAATTTAAGTATTATTCCCATTAGGTAATATTGTCGCATTGTATGTAGAACCCCCTACGATGTAAAATGTAAACATATTGCTGATATACACCGGTACCAATCAATAAATCGTGTTGACATTTTATACACCCAAATTTTCTGTAGAATAAAAATACACTAATTTCTAAAATTTATTAATAAAAACATTTTTTATCATAAAAAATATCAACAAAATATTACCTAAAATAGATTTGACCTAATATCCTAAAAATATTAGCGTGTACATAATAATTATTTTTACCACTACAATTTTTCTTACCAGACGGTAAATTATCCAGAATGTGTCACATGTTGAGGATTCACAAACTGTTCAATTCCGACGAGATTTTAGATACGCACAAGAAGGGTTCCACTATTGATTCGATTCACCCGCGCCGAGCACACTGACGAACACACCCTGTAGCGAGCGAATCAGCTACTGAGAACTGACCGACTCAGGCTGGCCTGTCTGCAGGGCTACCAACATAACGGAGAAATAAGTCCCTCGGTGCTATCAGTACACAGCTGTTATCTTTGGTAATGCTGTTGTGTGGTTGGCAGCTGTGCAGATGCCGCATGTGTAAAAACCTTGTTTGGTTGGTTTATTTTGATTTTTAACACGTTCCATACACTTTAATTTTTTTGACATAAAATAATCTAAATATATAAAAGGCAAAGCCCTCACTGACTGACTCACTCACTCACTCACTCATCACTAATTCTCCCACTTCCCATTTACCCAGGAGGCTGAAATTCGGTACACCGATTCTTTGGGCATTAAATAGGAAAACTAAGTAGTTTTTATTCTGATCGGGCTTTCGGGCTCCGCCCCAGTGGCTCTGGAGTTTCCCATGTTAACCTTATGATTTTTCATATTTAAAAGGAATTTCTTAACAGCTGTTTCAATTAAACAAGTTGGTTCTGTTCTATGATGTTCAATAGCATTAAAGTTACAAGGATTACCAACAGGGTGCAGCACTGTTACTTTTTTATATTTATGACTACAGCCAATTTGCAACCAAAAGGTGAGTGAGCGTAGCGAACGAACTTCAACCTAGAAGCAAGTTAGCGTAGCGAACGAGCTAACCTGAAGGCAAGTGAGCGGAGCGAACGAGCTCCAACCTAAAGGTGAGTGAGCGTAGCAAACGAACTTCAACCAGGACGTTATTGAGCCATGCGAACGAGCTCACTTGTGAAGTTAATTGGGGCAAAGCCCGCGGGTACAGCTAGTACAATAATAAACCCTATAGCCCTACCGTAGTTCCTACAAACGCTTACATTTTTGCATATATGCTGTCCAAAAATTCAACAGTGGTGTCTTTTCTCTATTCCTACCCCACCACTTCGAAAAGCTAAAAATTTTACAATAAACCTATAAAGCATTAGAATATGTAAAACATTTCGTAAATTTTTTGTAAGACTTACAATCAGGTAGTCAGGTATCAGGTAGGACTGTGAATCAGGAAATGCTGTGTCACAATTATGTTCATTCGCATAAACGCACATTAAAATACTTTGAAATAAAAAAATCTTGTTTTCAATACACTTCTTGAAAAAGTGATAAATAATCTGACAAACCCCTAGGAGAAGAGGACAAAGAGAAACCTGTAAAAATATGAAGCATAGATTAAACCAACATGATTATAGATCAATTCAATTATTAGTGCAAAAGTGGTGTGGGATTATTTTTCTATTATGCTATTGAATCATAAACATATTTGGTTGTTCAAAGATTTATGCACAACCATAAACATTTTATATATTTTTAACATAATAAAGGTAATATTATTACTTTCATCAGAAAAGAATTATTTATTTATTTGTTAAGGTTGAAGTATGTTTTATCTATGGTTGAACATAATATTTTAACACTTTTTTTTAGGTACTTCTTGAAACTAAGTCATCTGTAAGTTGTAAACATTACTTCATGGTTATGTTTACACTTGCAATGTAAATATTTAGGCTAAAATTGTAAATTGCATTTTCATAAATTGGTTTTAGCAGTGTCAAATTGTTGCTTATTTAAAATTATTCCATGCCATTATGAAAGTCGAAAGTAAACAGTTAGAAAGGACAGTTACTTTGAGTAGTGAATCTTCACCCGCCCAGGATGACAGGTAATCTTTAGCTATTTATAATTGTACAAAATACAGAAATGGTAGTTGGTATATATACCACTAGGCTAGTAACGCACACTTCTTGTATTCATTCAGAAAATACAGAGAAGTTAGGTTCAGAGGACACTGCTTATGGCGTCACCTTACGCTTTCAGCTCTAATATATTCTGCGTGCGCTAGTGGAAATATACTTGTTACGAGGAAGGAAGAACCCTTAATGGTGCCGGTGAGCACTGAACGGAAGTTCTTATCGCACAGGGCACAGTCTTCCTCCAGCGCCAGCGTAGCAATGATGGCGAGGAGAGAAAGGAGTATGAGAAAGGTTAGAAGTGGCACTAGGCACCAGAGACTAGTGCTAGACACCACTTAAGCGCACCATTCAATGTTTCCTCTATATCTTAGTTCTCTTTGAAGCAAACCATATTTTACTGGCAACCCCAAAAGCTTCATTCTCTACAACACTGTGGTGGCTATAATTCCTTGAGTGTGAATACCAATTTTTCTTTTCGGTCATATACATGCCTACCTTTTATTTATCAAATCGGGTTGATTCATTAGATATACTTTAGAAATACTTATGAATAAGATATTTTTGCTATAACTTACTCAAACTTAAAAATGCTAGTCAGTATATTGCAAACAGTTTTGTAATATGAAAGGTATTTTGCTGCATACAAATTTGAATTCATAGTTGTTCATTGACAGTTCTGTCGTCAGACATGTCAAGCAAGAAGGGTTGCTGCCACAGGGGCCACGGAAGTACTGGGAGATCTCAGCCCACTGCAATACCGTACGACTTCCTCAGTCGAAGCCGGATATATCCTTTGACAATCCTTCGAGCAACTACCACTACCAGCTACTGACCAGCGCTGCACCTAATAGACAAGAGGCAAAACTCATAACACAGGTGAGTATCGGAGTACCTATCAATAAAAATATTTGTCGATTATTTCTAATGTAAACCAGTTTTTTACGTCCCACCTTTGCATCCGGAGACTAAGAGGGTAGCGGCGTCATTGCATGGCTGGAAGACATAGTGATTTGCAGGATTTGAGACCTCGGGGACTGAAGTACTACGCTCTACCATAGACCAGCTTGCTCCCGAGTGAAAACCAGGCCCCACATTGATGGGAGGCAAGAAAACACTCTGAATTTGAAGCCTGTATTGTAGAATACCTACTATAGTTAAATAGTTCTAAAATACACTTTTCTGTCATACCCTTTGATAAATTTGCTTAAAATTCAACTTCTCATTTTAGGCGCAGCTTCAGGGTTTAGCCAGACTGAATCGATCAAAGTTGCATGTGAGAAATTTTGTTTTCCCCGTCCAACTCATGAAAATGAAGCACATGGACCCCCAATCGAGGCAGAAAATAATTGAAGAACTTTGCAAGTACTTTAGGTAAGCAAATAAGAGTAAACAAAGAAAGTGGTTGATAATCAATATTTAATTTAATTAATAGCTGCCCACATACTTGCTAGTAGTATCATCTAATAACCTAAGTTATAGCCTCTTCAGCTGCATAGTAGTCAGCAGTTTTAATTTACGATGTTTGTGTATCTGTGCTATTTGAGACCTAGTATCCAGTTCTTCTTTCTCTTTCCACATACGCAATAACTCTAAAATAATGTCAAATTTGAAATTGCTAAAATAAGTAAAAAACCAAATCCATGTGTTTTATTTTGAACCAGATCAACACAACCCTTTGGTTTTGGCACACAAACATCTTAACCCTTCGATGTTTATTTGACGGCTTATCTGATAGTAGTACAGAATTAATCACTGAGATCAGTTTGCAGCGAGGACTGTACAACATCGTGCTGGAGCAGGCAGAATTGAAGTTCCAAGACTTGTGCTGCCTCCTGGTGGCCATCGCAGGGAGTTGCAGAGTCAAGTCTCTGTACCTATGGCATGTCCTCAACACCTGCGAAAAACCTTTCAAGGGACCTCTACAAAGTAAGCTGGCATAAGTCAAGTAATATATTTGACTAGTGAGATATGAGATGAGTTATAGAAAGATCACCTAGGCCCCTATTACTAAAATGAAAATTCAATTTAAATGAATCTTTTACTTACCTTCAATAACAAGGGAGTTAAAAGCGGTTTGCCGATTAACGTTTTTCGCAACTTTGCACCCCCATCCCTAAGTTGTTCACCACCCCTGGACGCGACGACATGGGTTTTTGAAACACTCACCTAGGCCCCCATTACCAAAATCTCTTGACTCTTTTCATACATACTTAACTAACTGCACCTAGCGCCTGTACTAATATGGATAACAGGCAGGTTAGTCCTAAAGCCTGGTTTACACGGGTAGTGTAGAGTTTATAGTAGAGCTATTTTCTTGTCCATTCTACCAATTTTAAGCAAGCGACTGTTCACACATAGTAGAGTGTTGATGATAGTTTGTGAACTGTACGTGTCTCCTCCTCCATTCCCAAAATGAGTGTTCAAAACCAGTTACAAGACAGGGTCACTCTACTAGAAACTCTACTCTACTGCCGACGGATCACATTTATACAAGTATGCCACATTTTGCTAATAACTCTACTCTACCACCTACTATCTACTATACTAGCTACTAGGCGCTAGTGGGTGTTTACACGGGTAGACTTACTCTACTAGAAATTCTACTCTACCCACAACCCTACCCGTGTAAACCAGGCTTTAAGTTTATAATTTGGTAGTGTAGGAGCCTCAACAATTTTCTTTAATCACAGAAAATACCTTTTCCAGGTGATATAGTCCTAGATGACCTTCCACGGGTTCCATATACTTACAACCCTGGAGGCAGAAAATACCTGAGAGAACTCGGAAAGGCAAAAGTACACAAACTAGAGAGAGAAATCTCAAAAGAAACAAAAAAAGTTGTAATAAGCGATGAAAGTCTAACTAAGAAATCTGACTTGAGGAAAGTTCCAAGTTATACAAATAAATCTGGAGAATCCTCCTATAATCTTAGAGTTCAGCAGTCACCCAATGTTGATTCACATGACTTTATGGTACAGACACATTCTAGAGTCGATTCAAACAACCTTTTTACTCAACATCAAAAAGAGGGTATGAAAAATAAATCAACATCAAATCGCTCTGTAAGCTACGCAGATCAGAATACATTTTCACAAACAGAAAGTTACAACAGTCAGACTACCGGACTTTATTCAGATAACATTTTAAAGCAAAACGTTAATGAAAATAAAAGTGTAAACAATAGTTTAAAATTAAATCAATCCATAAGCTTTGCACAACAGAGCACTTCACAGCAAGAAAGCTACCACAGTCAGTCTACTAAATTTAACATGGTTAAGTTTTCAACTCAGCATTATATCGTGGAACACTTGCTCAAACGAATCCTCACTCAAACATCTGGAGAACCTTTTGATCTGGTGGAAAAAGAATTGGTCCACTCAGTTTCTAGTGTGTATGAAGATCACGTTTTCTCCCAAGCTGATGCAGGGGTGCAATGTCAGATGTCACTAAGTAAGTAGGGAACTATTTATTTCCTACATTTTGTGCTTAAAAACTACTGGATTAAAAGGATTTATACTCTGATAATGTAGAAACATGCTTTACCCATACTTTGCAACAGGATAAAAAAGAATTATGTGGTTCAATTATGTTAAATCTGACTTGCTAACAGTTACCTACCAGAGATAAATAAGATACAGAGGAAACACTCATGGTACACTTAAGTGGTGTCTTAGTGCCAGTGCTGGTGTCTAGGACAAATAATCCCCTTCACCCCCCTTGTCAACATGTATTTCAACCCTCAGGGTGGAAGTGTGGACCCTGTGCCCCGTGTAATAGGAATTTCCGCACAGTTCGGGCTCCTACTCGCTCGTCACAAGTATTTTTCCGCTCCAACATACCATAGATGAAAGCCTGTGGTTGTCCAATAAACATGTATCCTCTGTATCTTCAGGGCCTCGTTAAGGGTCAGAGGAGCCCTGGGCAAACCAAAAAGCAGTGCCCCCCTTTTTACCTAGTGGGGGCAGGCGGTGGTTGTGGGGCACTTGGTAGGCGCCCCCAAACCTCCAGTGCCCCCGGGCATATGCCCAGTCTGCCCGTTTATAAAAGTGGGCCTGTGTATCTTGCTTCTTTGTGCAGTTATACACTCAGCATTGTTTTGGGAAGCAAAACTCAAAATTGCACCTAACATTAAAGTGTAGTTTTTGTTTTTCAATTCTAATACTTCAAATTCATTTGGGAGTCTGAAAAAATTACTAACTACATTAACAAGTTCAATAACTCTACCTTTGTTTTCAGACTCGAAAGAAACCGTCTCATTAGACGCAACTTCTGCGCACCATTCAACCACAAATGAATCTCATCTTAACGCAGGGAAAACTCCTCTACTTGGATTTTGCAAAAGCTATTTAAAGTTTTATGAAAACACCGAAATAGATGTTGACGTTTTGCGGGACATGTACATGATTTCACTGAACAACCTCACTCATCTGACCCAACTCGCCATCAACTACAGTTTGCTAGCCGATGGAACGGGGGATGCCTTGTTGTCTGTGGGGAGCATAGCAAAGGGAAGGTTGAAACATCTCAAGCTGCTGTGCGAACCAGAAGACATCCCTTCTCCGACTCATCAGCTGTATGAGGCCGAAGCCCTTCAAGCTATTCCAGATTTGGTGTGGCACTATGTTAGAGAAAAGTGCCCAGATTTGGAGGTCCACGTTGTCTGCGGTAATGTAGTTTTGTATGGTTTGAATTTTAATATCTGTTGTGTCATAGAGAAAGGTTTGCAGATTTGAATGTCCGCATTGTATTTTCTTAAATAGTCCTGGCTAAGGACTAGCTGATCTTAGACAAAAATTAAGCTATAATCTGATCCATTCAACACCCACCCTTCAGTAATATTTACCTTAAAATACTCACCCTGTTGTATTGTAGTAGTTCAAATCTAATGCAGTCATTGAGTGTTTTACACAAATGAAACATTCTAGAAATACACATACATAGAAATACATTGTAGCACTTTCTGCATTCAATGAATCTTAGCTGACATAAAAACATGTTGATGAAGTAGTAGTAGAAAAAAAGCAAATACTGAGCTGGTGTTTGGGCTTAGATTTGAAACCATATTGATAGTTAAATATGTCATGTTTACTATACTTATAAGCAGTGCTCGATTTTTGGAGGAACACGGCAAAAGGGATGTTCTGGTACCACCTCTTTCCAATGAATTGAAATGTTGGCATGAATAGGTACAAATCACATTAAATAGGTTACAGTTCTGGCACTTCGTCTTTTACAAATCAAGCACTGCTTAAAAGTGTCATTCTTTTGTTATGATTTGCTTTAGTAACTGAGAAAAACACACCAACTATTCACCGACTTTTCAGTGTCGATGAGTGCTTACGATGTTACAAAACGTTTTGTTACCCGGTCCATGCCACTGAGCAGCTTTTGTATGGAAAACGGATTTTGCCCTACATCAGCAGTTCCTGAGCTCACCATCTTTTGCACCCTGAAATGTTTGTGGCTGGACCATGCAGAGACATTAGGTATGGTATTTAATTTTTCTTTATTTAATGTTCATATCGGTCCACATGATTTTTTTATGAAAGGACTTTTTATGAGAAATCAGTCCAAACCTCTGACAACTTTGTAGACATGGTGGGAATTGAGTCCTCTCTTGCAAAGTCCGAGACACTATAACTACCAAGCTTCAGTATTAACACACACAAGATTTTATTAACACTAGGTTTTAAAGGCTGTTTGGAATTTTATAGCTTCACATCATTTAGATGTTATCACAGTAGGCTACTGCGGAATTCATTATTGTCTTTCTCATTCAATTGCTTTTTTTAGAACATGTAAACCTTACTCTGTGGCACTCTACTGGAAGAATAGACTCGTCTCTTGTCGAGTTATTAAAGAGAACAAGACTGTCCAGTTTTGCTTATCATGGCCCCTTGCAGAAGAAGAAATCCGTTAACGAAATGTGTGATGCTGCTTTAAACTCCTCCAGTAAGTCTTTTAAACATCCATTCCAATGCCATAAGACATAGAAGCATTGACATTGTTTATTTGTGACTCACAGATTCACTTTTATTTTTAAATGAAAAAAGATTCTGTCAGTGGATGAGCTTTTCTAGTTCAATAGCAGGACTGCACAAAGTTCATTATAATTGTTACCTTTATATTTTGTTGTTTGTCTACGCCCAATAGTATTTTTTAACAGTTTTTGCAAGTCCAAAAAATCTGGTTTTTGTTACTGTCTAAGTTAGATATAGCATCATTAATTGATAGTCCAATGACAAATGGAATCTGAGTTTTGTAATTCAAACTTGTAGTTAAAATTTAAACTGTACATAATTTCAGACAATGTGCATCAGTGATAAGTTGATCTAAAACATGTTCAAGTATATCTAAATCACAGTTATATGGCAATGTTTCTAAATTTTAAAATCTACGCTGTAGCATCTGGTTGAAATTTTGGAAAGTTTCAATATGATTTGTTGACTTACGTACCTACATTATTTTTTTCAGAAATGAAGAGCTTCAAGTTAATGATTCAAGGTGATCCATGTTTCCCTTCCAATGCCAAACAGGCAAGCAGTCACATTTACAATCAATACATTCATCGATTCCAAGATAAATCCATCGAATTTACATTAGGAACATTCAGTTAGTGATATATATATGTCTGAAACATTTACAAACATTGTATTATTGCATAATAAATATATATTTATAGGCTAAATGTTCTGTAAGCGATTTAATTTAAAAATATACTTTAACCCCTATGCCCTATGTGAACATTTCATTTTTACAGCTAAAAAGGGTGTACACAAACTTTCTATATAACTTAAAAGGTCGGTACAGAGTTAATGTACACTCTGTATGTATAAATTATTAATAAACCTAGTTTTTTCAACCGTTTGTGATAGAATAGATAATAGATGTGCAAAAATAAAAGTCTCAAAATATTTAACTCCACTCCTCATTTTCTACCAAAGTTATTAGCATTAATTTTAAACAAGTTTATGTCACACAGGATTTCTCAGTACTAGCTAAGAACCGAGGTCCGGAAGGTTACTACACTTTCCTTTGTATGTTTCCATTCGGTGGCGGTTTTAGGACCTTGTCAAGGGGGGGGGGGGCTACCGGGAATAGACAATATACAATAGACAAACTTTTTATTGAAATATTCCTAGAGAACATTCATGCGTCAGGTACAACTATTACAGTCATTTGCAATTACAATTAGCATTTTATTTTTTTTTTATACTAGCTTATTGTTTAGGAATTCATCCTCTGAGTAGAACGGCCGGTCCATAAGCCATGTTTTCAGGTGCTTCTTGAACAGATTCAGAACCATGGGGCTAAGAACCTAGGAAAGACAATAACGGACCCATTGGACAACATTTTCTCGAGCAAGAGCAAGGTTCGTACTATGGTCACAATCTTCTATCAGCACTTCAGATTAGGTAAAGGATTTAGGAACTTCACTAGATTGACTTCTAAAGATTTTGAACTTTTGCTGGGCTTTGTTGAACCTAACATTTCAAACTTGAAGAGATGAACAATTCAATAAAATGTCATATAATAATATATGAATTATTTATTGAAAACTAATTCCAAAACGTTCAAGAAACTCAATCCAGCTCTTTTAAAACCGCCCAAAAATCGTCATATTACCGCATTGCAGTCCAACTAAATGGCCTGAATGTTGAACACCTTCGGCTTGTATCCAGTCTTCTGTCTCCAGACACGTCCACACATGCAGACTTGAGACAAAACTTTTGTCTCTTGTCTCCGTGTTTCCCATTCGAACGGGAAACAGAAAACACTGTATAACAGAAAACTCCAGATACACCAAAATTTGTCTGTTAACAGTCGGCGGACAGTCTGCAGACAGTCGGCCGACTTACTGGAAACATCGCTGGAGACAAATAACACCAGAGACAGTCGGCAGACAATGTTTCCGCAGACAAATCGCCATGTGTGGATGACGTTTTATATAATCAAGAAGAGTTTTAGTTTGTTATATTATATAGAGGCAAGTTGATTTCATCAATAGTTTAAGTTTAACTTATCGGGCCTGGTGACGGAACCAACCGACGATGAGTCATTCGGTCAAAGTCCAATAGGCTGACTAGCTGATTGAGAAGACACGGAGACGGAAGACGGAACGATATTCGACGTTATGAACTCGGTGAGTAGGCCTACAGTAAAGTCAACTCGTCTGCTTTGTATCTTTACAGTAGCATAGTCTGCCAGTGTCTTGTACTTGTCCGGTTCTGTTCATTTCCAACGTCCGAGTACGTCATAAAACTCAAAGCATTGAAAATAAAAAATGCTATATAGGTACACAATTTGGGGGAGTGTGGTGAGATATGTTGGGTGATGTTTTTAGCGTGGCCATTGAATAGATTATTTTATTGACTACATCAGTGATGCAGTCAATCTCTGTAGTTACCGGTACTATATCTCTACCGTCTTACGTCTCACCTATAAAGGTGAGCCCCTCCGTCCTCCGGGTACTCCCACCAGCTACCACACGTTACATGTTCGGTACAACAATATCTCAACCTCTGTCCCTACTCATTCTGAAAGACACCAACGCTCAACCAGCCCTTCTATTATTCGTTGGATCCCAGTATTCCACAAACCCACTCATCCTCGAACTATCACAGGATCCAACTCTATTCACACCGCGGCAGGACCTCTTTACCATAGTTTTAGTCAACAACAGCAACCCTGACTGCCTTGATTAATTCAACTGATTACTCAGTTGGTGCAGGACAGGTCGTCAATGTCTACCAGGCCGCGACCAGGAGTTAAAGGTTGCCGTGCGCAGGCATTAATGCGTTGGTCAATTATGCAAAATAGCCACTGATTATCCCACTACCAGCTCCGGGACCGCATACTGGAGGACCGATGGAGGGAGGGCCATGCCTTCCCCCGGGCCAGGCTGCACTAGCAACGCTCAATACCATTTGCGCAGCGCAGACCACCATGGGACAAGTACAACCATAACGTCCTGTATTAGAAAAGGCTATGGCCATGGAACAGCACGTCGCCGCTGGACTACTCTCACCCGACTGCCAACTCTTCAGGGCCGGGATGGACAACGACGTTGTATTTGTTCCCTCTGTCATGTGGCTTTTCAGTGCTCCTTGTATAAATAAATATTTAACTTACAGCCATTCAGCGGGATAATCAGTGGACATTTAACATAGTAACCACACGTTAACGAGAAGGCAAAGTAGTTTTTGTTCACTTAGATCGTTGGCAGCATTGATTTTTCCAGCAGAAAAGAATAAGAATGTTACAGCAAGAAGAGAAGATCAAGAAGAAGAAGTAAAAAAAACTAAATTGTGCCCGTGCCGAGAATGGTGGATATTTGGGTTGTTGTGGGTGGTAAATTCGCGTTTTTTAGAGAATCAATTTACAATGTTGGTGTCTTATTTTAGTTTCAAGGATAGTTTGGTTTAAATGTTTTAGGATTTCCGAAAAAGGTAAGTTTCTTGTTCCAGATAATAAAGCCAACATCTTCCGCGACCAAGGGAAGGGCCCAGGTTACTATGAAATCTGGAATTAGGCTAGGCCTAACATTTTCTATTAACATCTCCCTTAAACTTTTTGTCACTTAATTGTAGCCCATGCAAAGATCTCGACTAAAAAATCAGTGTTCAAAACGGGCCTGATTTCAATTCGTATGGTTTCAGAATGAGATAGGGGGGCCTAAGAGGGCAATGTATTATAGGCTAGTAGGCCTAGCCTCTGTATATCAACTAGGTCTAACTTAAGCTACACCTTAGGTAACTTAGTCCGTGGTTGAGATGACTGAAATTCCTAGTTTAAGTGTTAGGGCCTAGTTAGGCCTCCTACTGTAATAAATTTAAGAGAGCGAGCGAAGCTTTGGCTGCACTTAAATTAAATCAACTGATTGCTCAGTTGGATTGGTGCAGGACAGGTCGTCAATGTCTACCAGGCCGCGGCCTGAAGTTAGGTCCTACACTCATTTGAATGAAAATATTGATTATTCGATTGTTTCATTCAATATATCGTTTGGTTAGTTAGGATTTTTATTCGATTGAGTGTCCAGGACCTAAAGTAAAGTGCAGCCGAAGCTTTTTGAGATCGGACCTTAACTTACGCTACCTAAATCCCCACTAAGTTAAGTTAGCCTAAATCTTGCCTGTGTTATTTCGGCACATCTCAGACAAGGGTGCATCAGACATGATCAGGCTATGGTTGACCTCAAAAATCAAAATTTCTCTGCGGATTAGGCCTACCTACTTTAAGTTATAAGGTGTTGTCAAGATTAAGAACAAGTTAACCATCAATGGCTTGCTAAGTTAACTTAATTGAGCCATTTTTGGAAAGATAAGTTTCAAGCATGAACAAAACCAGTAAATGGACACTAAATTAGTTTATTCGGGTGGTTCCACAACTGGGATATATTATTAGATTAAACATCAACATAAGTTAGGCTAGGCCTACCAATTATAATTTGGTTCAATATTGACATAACTTAGACCTAAGTTATCATGTTTTGAAAAATTTCCCAATAGACCCTAATTATGAAATGTGTTACGATCTGTTCTCGTTTTCATTGGTGTTAAGGCTAGGCCTACCGTATGTTAATAATTTTTAACATCGAATTGAGTGGTCTATTCAAGTTACATTTTATTACTGGTAGGTATGTTAAATAGGCCTTTAAACAAAAAATAAGCTAGCAATATCTATGAACGTTAAAAAACAAATTAACCAAATTAACTTTATGATATCATTTCTGCATAGGATTTGAAAATGTAAGTTTGTCTAAGCTAACTTATGACTTAGGGTGAAGTGGGGTAAGAGTAACCGGGGGGCTAGTGTAACCACGGCTTATCACTCAACTAATAAGATAATTTTATGACCTAAATACTATCATATCTTGTTATTTGGACCTTCCTTTGTTATATTTAGCCTTAAGAATGCATATAAAATATGTGCAAGTAATAGTTTTAGAATGTTTAAAAAAGGCTTACATTTCCACTCCATCGGCAAGTGCCAACCTCAAACTTTGACAATTTTTCATACTCACATTTTTAATGTAAATTTGACAGTTTTTGGTTTACAAACTAATTTTTGCATGTAGAATCGGAATATAATTTCAGATCTGTGCTATTTCCTATTGTTTAGATTTTACAAGCGTGGTTACACTTACCCCTGAAATTTTGCAGTCGGGGCAAGTGGCTTTTTGGATTTGGGGCAAGTGTAACCAGGGTGTAACTCATATAATATTCAGTATAAAGAAAAAAAAACTTTGTTGTAAATATAAAATTAGGAATTCAGAAGATAAGGTAAAATTTTACACATATTTTTACTGAGTTAAGTTGGTTTGAAGAAAAACATAATTGTTTGTGAGTGAACTGCTTAAGTGATTATATAACTTTACGTTAAACTTACCCCGTTTTATAATTTAGGATTTTCTTGCCCAAATGTAAATAAAAAAACAATATTACTGTGAGATATATCCTACACATGTTAAACAACATTAAAAACCATGTAAGTACCAATTAATGTTGTGTTTTTTATGTTTTAACAGTAATCTTTCCGTTTTGCATGTTTTGCGTTTTTCACAAAACGCGAGAAGAGGTTCACGAAAAAGTTTGTAACTTGAGTAAAAATTAAGATATTTTAATAAGTCAAAAAGTCTTGGAATCAGCAAATGATTTGGAATCTGGCCACTTGCCCCATGTCTCTTTTTCAATGCTTTACATATTTTTAACAGGCAGGGGTTACACTTGCCCCGAACCCTGGGGCAAGTGTAACCACAAAACGCAAAATTTTTAGTCATTTTTTATTACCAAAAAAGATTTTATTTTTTAATAACAATGCATATTGTTTTAAAGCCCATTAGTCAATGTTTATGCATAACAAATTTCAGAACTATATCATGTATAACAAGATGGCAATTTGAGGTCAAAGCTGAACTATGCCAAAACGTGGTTACACTTACCCCACTTCACCCTAAGTTAACCTAGTCCTAGTTTCTTCCATTTTTAGTTTTGGATAAAACTACAAAAAACAACCTTCAAAACAACAAATTTAGGATAAAACTACATGAATACGAAAGAAACAACTTTAACTAATGCTTTTGTGATTGTTTTTATTTGTATCATATCAGAGAGAATTAAGATACAGAGGAAACATTCAATGGTACCGGTACCCCTTCCGCTCTCCTCTCCCCCCTCCTCATCCCCCTGACCATCACATAATAAGGCACTCACGCTGTAGGAAAAGCCTGTGTGGTACAACTGCTGTTTTAAACAATAGCCGTTCAGAGGGCTCTTCCTAGCTTTTAGCTAAGTATAATTCCACCCACCCATTCTCGAGCTAAAAGCACACAGTTGTTCCGTAAGCCCGTTTCCTCTGTAGGCCTATATCTTACTTCTCCGTGATCATATGGAAAAATTAAATTTGATGCAATATTAATATCGATCCAAATTATAATCTATATCTGCCTACTATAGCTTATTTTGATAGGCTACTTAATCATATCATATAATATATCGCAGGTTTTCTGTGGAACTTACAGGGCACGGTATCTGTGTTAACTGTCACTGACAACACATTAGCAATCACTCCCATTTTCCCCAGCATCACTCCTTCATCATAAATCCATGTCACGGAATTACATCGTCACTAGTAACTTAAAGTTCCAAAATTATAAGTCATGAAAAAGATGAGTTAGCTCTATCTAGTTTTAATTTTGTTTAATGTAGCTGACTAAGATTATTATTTTTTTTATATGAATGAATGCTTGGAATTTACATGTAATAATTTTAGGCTCTCCTGTAGCTTAATAATTAATTTTAAATTGTTATCAGGACAGACACAATGTGGACGGGAGACGTACAGAGTGGTTTTTCCACACAATGGGCTCTCAACCCATCGACTTATCAAAACTTACCAAATGAACAAGGTATGTATGATATCTCATGTACTTGCTTTGAAATAACTGGCTGATGATAGGTTAGCAGTAGCCTCTAGTCATAATTCCTCTCAGAAGTTTTTTGCTAGCCCAGTGGTTAGCGTCTTGGACCTTGGTGCGTGGGGCACAGTTTCAATCTTCAGTTATTGACAATCATTTCCAGGGTTTTGGACTGCTTTCTTTGAATGAGTTTGACATTCTTATGAAATGACACTTTTAGTGTGAAAACAGAAAAATGCCTTCTGATGTGTATTTAGGCCTACCATACTTGAATCCTGGTTTCAATAAAACGTTTTAGGCGTATTAATACGATCCAATATTGAGATTTCACTTAACTACAAGTCAGACACTTAATTGTGAAAACAGGCCTAATTTCACTAAGCCATCTTACCTTTAGTTAAGTCATCATTTATTTAGTTGTAACCTTGTCCTTACCCTGTAATTTACAGAAAGTGGATTCTCCAAACCATATATTTACTAGACGGTAGCCTACTATACTTTTGCCTAAAGTCCTGTTATTATTTTCAGTGGATTGGGCTTCACTAGCTCAACAATGGATACAGATGAAGGAGCATTATCCGCAGCTAACACCACCGGTGCCCCCTGCACCCCCACCACCTTCTATACAGGCTGACATAGAGGCGGGGGAGGCGCCCATGGACGTAGCCAAGGACGATGTCCCCCCCGCTCCAGCCCCGCCGTCTGCAGCATCTCAAGGTATGCAATGCATTCTGGCATGTTTACCTAATACCGGCTAGGCCATTTGGACTTGAAAGTCATGGCTTTATAATTTGTACCTTGATACTCAATTGTAATTTGTGGTTATAAAGTTAGCTGGCCTTTTGATTAAATTAGTTAGTCAGTTCAATCCTAGATGAAGCGTGTTACTATAGTTTATAGTAACGGTACTGGACTCATAGGATCGTTAAGGCTCAATATAATCAATCAAGTGTTGCGAGCTACATTCTGAGTTGAATAATAATGATCTTAAATTAATTACTGAGCCAAACCACATCCATATCACAGCCATTTTGATGATCTAATAATTTCTAATGCATCTAATTAAATATAATAAGGAAAAGAACACTGAAAACTTCCACTCGTACCTTATGGGTATGAGTGTGCTCTAAAGTATAATTTACATATTAAGCTGAAATAATTAATAGTTCCCTAACCCCTTAATCCCCCCCTTCCTGAAAAAAATTAGAACATATTTTAAAATTACTTAAACTAAGGAAAACTTATCAATTCGGCGATGGAGTCCAGCCTTGACCATGGCGCCTACACCCTCTTGACTTCGGAACACGACTGGTACTCTGTCTCTGCGCTTCCTACCCCCTCCCCCGTTCTCCAGCAGTCAGCTGATCTTTAACGTCTGATGCGTCGCCGCAGTGACGCAAGCGTCACATAGAAAAAGCCTGTTTTTGATGGTTCTAAATAAGACCCAAATGTTTTAGTTTGTCTTCTAAATTAATTGTCTTGGCTAAGTAACTAGCTGATATAACAAGGAGCGTCATCTCATCCATTCAAAACGTAACTTATATGACACTTATCTTTGCTTACAATAGACACCCCAACGTGTCAGCATGAAAATCTAATCCAATAATCTGATGTTTATAAAGTCTTTCTTTCTCAGCGCTACCTACTCACCAGTAACCTTTCATCATTATTACTTCAATAAACTACAATAGCTATCTCACTTTTTTATGTGTTAAGTTACCTTTATCCAAGTATGGTCCTATATTTCAAATCGGCTTTAAATAATCACAAATTAGCTATCTTTGGCCCAGTATTAAGCTAAAGTTACTAAACTAAATTAGCTGAGTTAAGTAGGCCTAGTTAAGTTTAGGCCTGCACCTCAACATAATTGACTTAAATATTTTAACTTTTTCAGTTGTTTTGTTTTTTTGTTGTTTCATATTTTTTAAATTATTTTAAATCACAAACAAAAGGTTTTTTGTCCATCTCATTGTTTCCCGGTTGCTATGTTAAAAGAGATTAAAGTGTCCTCAGGACCTCCAGATGGAAACTGGGGAACTGGAAGCTGGAACAACTGGCAGCAGTGGGGTTGGGGATGGAATGGCCCACCAGACTCATACAATGCGCCAGCCGCAGTCCCACCTCCTGCCACTTTTGACTATAATCACGGAGCTTCCATGCCGGACAACTTTGACCAGGTGAGATTAGACAAGTTGATATTCAGGTTATGTTTGTTAAAATATCACATACGGTAACAGCAGTAGTGGCAATTTAAAACTTTAAATAGGCCTAGTTGAGTCCTACTAACTCAAACCTCAGTGCGTTGCCATTGACAAACGCACTGATGTCCATCACAGTTATCATACAGTGAAATTTTCTTAGTAGCCTACAACTTTCTAAAAGTCAGGTAATCTAGCATGACTTATGGAAACAATCTACATAATAAGGATCTAATAAAGTGTGTGAAGGTTTGAAATTGTTTACATTTTGATTTAGGCTATAGTTGTTTTGTTAAATTCACATTTTTTCTGATACAGTAGACCCCAACTTAACCGACGTCGCATTAACCAATAACCGGATTATCCGCCTCGATCGCAAAATATTACTGTTTGTTTTAACCAACCTTGCTTTGAAAGCAGTTTGGTTTAACCGCCGCTTTCTGATCTCGGCATTTCTGCAACCACTCTCGGCGATGGGAACCTTATGCTTATCTCTACAGGATGTGACTTACTATGTTTTTGAAACAGCTGCTATTTTTGTAACATAATCTAGAATTATCGCTACAGTAAAGAAACAACACAACTTGTAGGAAGGGCAGGGGAGGAGGTTAAGTACTCCAAGGTCAAGATAGTTTTTGTGACTCAAGCCTCCAGTGAGAGGTTATGAATTAACGTCCAGTCTCGTAACAAATTGTATGGATATCTTATAGCAAATTTATATAATCTTTTATGTCACATAAAATGTCATAGTACCAAAAACTAAAGGAACATAACATGTTGAAAGTACTGCACTCCCTGAGTGGCTCACTCACACTTATGTTTTTTTTTTTAAACAAAAAGGCTAAAGTTGGTCTATTAAGATTGAATGTCAACTTCAGTATCCACAAGTCAATGCTGAAATTCTTCCCATTTGGCAAAGTAAAAATAAATATAAATTATTTGGGAAGATAGGATGTTAAATCATTATTGAAATATGTAAACATGTTTTAACGAGTCTTTAATCAGCAGGGGCCGCCGGGGTACTGGTCTGAGGGTACGGCCCCGTTTGTACGGAATAAGCCTTCGTCTGATTGGAGGCCTGAGAGAGCCCCTAGTAATCGGAGGCATTCAGGGAAAGTAGAGGAAGTGGTGGAGCCAGACACTACAGCGTTATTTGGTAAGCTTTATAATCTGTATGCTCTAATTTATATACCGTAATGCTATCTAAAAAAATAAACATTTTTTAAATGCTCCTTGAGAGAGGGTTTATTCTAAGGGTAAACTCCCAGAAGCTGGGTTTTCTTGGGGCGAAAACAGAATGCGGAGAAGCGATTTTCTGCTTGTTGGTAATGTTCTGGTCTGCTTCTAGGAAAACAGTACCATTAAATTACCTAAGACAAGAGGAGAGCAGATTCCGCACTCTTCGTTCTGCTTCCTCCCCTAGGAAAACCCAGCTTAATGTTCTTTCTTTAAAATATTTATTTTGCACCATGCAAAATATTTGTACAAAGAAGTATTCTTTTCATAGATGCTGCCAAACGTAAACAATTACCTGCATGGATCAGAGAAGGATTGGAAAAGATGGAAAGGGAAAAACAGAAGAAATTGGAACGAGAAAGGCAGATCAAGGAGAGGGAAGAAGAATTGTTGCGTCGCAAACAAGAGGAAGAGGAAGCACTAGCGTCTGGCATACCTCTGAAGAGCAAATTTGTTAGTTCAATGACTTTTTGATGACATAGCAAAGCAATTATCAGCGTAGAGTAAACAGACAGTTGGCTGCAATTAATGTTAACAATTTATTTTATCGTGCTAACCTCAGGTCTTATTTTCCATGGCTGTATGTTGAGTTGTGTACCAAATTAAGTTATGGTCTTTATTGATAGTACACCATCAAGGAGCTGGGTTTTAATTTATCTTTTAAAATAATACATGTAATTATATTATTAATGCATTCATCTATCCATTGTAAAACAGTGTTTTCTGTCAAATGTCTCTACTTTGAAATTCAGAATTTGGCGGTTTTATTTGCTTTAAATATAATTTGATTTAATGTTTTCTAATCATGAAATCTATGCTTTACGCTTTTATCACAAATATTTTTGACCAAGCACATATGTATTGAGGGTTGTAATTTGTCAGCTTAACTCATTCTGTAGTCTTGTTCATGCATACATGCACCAGTACCAAACCCGTTTACAAATATTTCTTATAGCCTACTTTTAATATTTTTCAGTTATCCATTTAAACTGTAAATTGTAACTGTTCTTTGACATAATTTAAGCTTCATTAACAATGAGTATTTTATTTTAATTTTTTGCTCTGTTGTATTTGTATTGATGCGTTCGATTGTTCGATTATAGGACACTGATTCAGAAGAGTCTGAAAAGGAGGAGGAGCCAGAGTCAGCTGTGAAACCTAGAAGATCAAGATTTGACCCAGCGTCAAGCCCTGAACATGTGAAACCAACAGCAACAGCCTCGTACTCTCCACCTCCCGTCAAACGTAAATCCAAAGAGGAGATTACGCAAGAAGTTGTAAGTTGTGGAACCAATCATTTTACTCATTTTATCTTAAAAAGCTGTTCCTTTAAGTCAACAATTTAAGAATTGTATTTTTTTGTGTGTTTAGTAAATTATCCCAGGTTAGAAATACTCAGTATCAACAATCTTGTTATTTTATCTATGTCGTTAAAAATTAATGGTACCATAAACTGACAACGTGGTGTATAATCCGGAATTAATTGTCCGAGTATGTAATTGGTATGTAACGTAATTGGTTTATTAATTGTCCGAGGTTTAGGAATGCGATTATCAGTTTGTAGAGTTCATAATCTAACATGGATCCCGTGACAATTTAACTGGCTTTTTCACATTACAATGTTTAAAACTGCTATACTCTAGTAATTTTTAGTTATTTCTCAGTATTTTTAATGCAAGTTTTTAACTTCCAGTGCCACTGAAAAAGTTACTACTTTGTAGTCAATGATGACGGCATTGTGATAAAAAATGCTGGCTAAAATTATTTATGCAGGCATAAAACCTAATGTCGATTACCTCAAATAACACTTTGGGACCGTATAAGTGGAATTAGCCCCAACTTAAACCTTGGAACACTTGAATTTAAGTTAAAGGTAATGGATTCTTCTTAAAATAAAGCATTAAACTGATTTGATGGGGTTCCTTAAATTAACTCGGCCGAACGGCTTAGAACAAATGGATTACTTATGATATACAGATTGAAGGATAGTAATTTAAGCCTCATTAGGAATCCGTATCACTATTACTTGCATTCCTATCTTCAAACGTGCATCAATCTTTTTTTTACTATTGCATAATATCATTGAAGTAATAGAAAAGTACCTCCTGGCATTTATTTGACTGGATATTATTTAGTTGATATAGATTTTTACCCCTACATTTTTCAATTTCCAGATGCAGAAAGTGAGATATGTCCTGACTGACATTCTCATGACCGTCACCAATGAGGAGATGAGGAAGATCGCAGATGAAGTTTTAGCTGATTTCCGTGCTAAAGGTACCTTTGGTATAAAGTTACCTGGTTCTCAATGTCCACAAAGAGACATTTTACCTTTTATTCAACTGACCAAAGTTAAAGTCTAGCAGAGGTGCTTCAAACGAACAATAACAAACCTTGATTACGCCAAAAAACATTTTAAGTTGTACAAGTGATCTGTGATTAAATATTTTTAGGATTGTAAAATGATATAATTAAACTTGTATAGTTATTTGATAGTTTTTATAAAATTTATATGAAACACAAATCAGTTATATTTTTTCCTTAAACATCTGGTTGTACGAAAACTCAGTCGCATTAATTGAGAAGTGTGTCGACTAAAGTTCAGCTATGATCATTACCATGTCAATTTATAAATGGAGTAAATGCTGCAGTAACCTTCTTTCAAGAGATGATTGGGAAATTAATAATGCCAACTAACAATTTACAGATTGGATGATTATCTATAGGTTTTTGAAGGGATTGTGGGTTATTCAAAGATTTATTTGAACTTTTTTATCAAATGTCACATTTTTATCTAGTTTTCATCTAAAGATTGTTTAAGGTTTTCAGGCTTAAACAAGTGTATTTGATCCCAATACTTTGTCTGCAGTGAACTGAGAAGCAGTCAGCAATCCCAGATTGTAGCTAATGATAGCCAATGGAAGTGCTGAAGTGCTTGTAACTAATACAGTTGGTTTCAGAGCCGTACATTGTGATGTCTGTTAGGTTAGGTTGGCGGACAACCCCGTTGTCAGTTGAATGTTTGTCTTATGTAAGTTGTTCGGAGGGCCTTGGTCACTCCAATCTAACTAAAACTCTTTTTATGAAAGCTCCAGCCTCACGGTTACGTCAGACCCCAGCTTTAACTTCCCTTACTGGAAAACTAGGTAAGTTATTATGTCTTTGTGTTGTAGTGATTGAATTATGTAGGACTATTATCACACCAACAATGATAATTGAATCTAAATCACGCTTTTAACACCTTAATGTGGCTTGTAAAATGTGTTGTTACTGATTTAATATAAGGCTTATTATTTCATTTGTTGGACCAAGATCTTCACAGTTTCACGTAGAAAGTTTTCTAAAACTAATACCAAAATGAATCTAAAATGTAGTGAAATGGCCAATGTTTTGTCAGATCTTTGGATTATGATTATCCCAGTAATTTTTCTTTAAACTTCCCAATTAAAAAATAACTTTGCTTAACAAAACTAAATTCATGGAATGGCTTCCTAATTTTTTTTCTTTTTATTAATTTACAAGTGAGAATGATGTTTATAATCAAAAGTACTAATCTTTAAATTATCTTATAAAAAGATAGGGCATTTGCCAGGAATTATTAAGGAAATTGACAGGAAAGCAGGCTTACCTTTAAATAAGTCCATAGAGACACATAACACATCACAAAATTAAAAGTAGAAATTTTCGTGGTCACTGACCACTTTTTCAACCACTGGAGATTGGAGAAAAATACCAATCTCCAGTGGTTGAAAAAGTGGTCAGTGACCACGAAAATTTCTACTTTTAATTTTGTGATGTGTTATGTGTCTCTATGGACTTATTTAAAGGTAAGCCTGCTTTCCTGTCAATTTCCTTAATCTTTAAATTAACTTGCCAAGTTATCAATGATAAAATGAGGTTTTTTAAACATTTATATTCAAGCTAAATCATTGTGCACTTTCTCAATGTTGACCTTTCTAATGCCCAAAAGTAGATTTTATGAGCATCCTACCATATAAGCATATAAGTAGGTTCTAATAGGTTCTGTAATAGAAGATTGGAATGATTTTAAATCTAGTTTTTAATTTAATTCTATAATTTTTTACTGTTCTGATATCCCAGTATTGATCTTATGTTTTATATTATATCAATATCATGCAACTACTGTAATACAGTAGATTCCCTCTTATCTGGACACCTTTTAACCGGACACCGGTTTTAACCAGACTACTTGGCAGAAATGACATCTCTTTAACCGGAAAATTTTTATCTGCACATCGGTTTAACTGGACTAAATCGGCAGGAAGTTGGTGGTACTGAAACGACTGTTCTAGTGGGAAAGATTTTAAAGAAAGATTTTTTTTTTAGATTTTTCCAGTGATCACGTGTCTAAATACAATGTTCTCCTACATTGAAGTCAAATATAAAAAAACAGTATACTGTATAACACTACACAGGTTACAGTATGCATGTAAACGGTCCGTTTAACGAGTTTTTGGGGATATCGGTTTAGCGGGAATAACCGTTATCCGGACTGGCCTCAGGTCCCAAGAAGTCCGGTTTGAGGGAGTCCACTGTATCTTATTCTAAAAACATCAATATTTTATTTGTGGATGAATGTTTTTAAAACTGGTTAACAAGGGGTTTGTGAACAAGGGAAATGTTAAGTGATTTTTGTTTAAGTTGAACTTTTTTATATATCTCACTTTATTAGGCAATGTCTAAACACCATTGTTTTCTACAGGGCTGGGCATCTATGACTCTGATTCCGAAGATTCTTCCAGCGAGAGTGAAGATGAGCGGCCTTCAAAACAAAACGGGATCGATTCTGATGACGAACTTCGGGTGAGTTGGAAAACTTTTTTTAAATATCTTTACAACACAAAAATAGTGTTAACAAAAAATTCTAACTCTTGCAAATGTAGCTTTCAAAAATTAATGTAAAATGTGGGCAATAAAATCATTCTCCTTGTAATTCTTTGTTGAAATTAATTTCAAATAGGAAAAATAGTTAACTGTACATTTTAAAGACTATATGAATAGATGTCCTACATTGCTTTGGTATTAAATTGTAGGTAAGTAACTAGTGAATATGCTAACATTATACTTGCGATGTCTTTTCCTGATTTATTTTCTTTAACCCAAGTATTTGTCAGCCAAGTGATCCATTACTTGTACCTTGAAAAATGTATTCTAGAAAGAAAGTAGTACTGTCAGTACCTGAAGGAAATTCCTTGTAGCACTGTTCATTGGAAAAAAAATGCTGTAACCTAGAATTAAAAATATCGGTATTGGAACTTTGGTACTGTCGTGAACAATAAGATAATGACAGCTTTGTGCTCCGACAGCAGGTGAATTGAGGTGCTTGTACCATAAATTCATCCCTGGGTTACTTGTATTATTCATTCATTAACATTAGTAATGAGTCTAAACCCAAACCCAAAACCTAAAAAAAAATTTAAAAACGTTTACGGCAACACCCATGAGCAACTGATGCCATCGCAGAGATATCGTAAGCATCTGCCAATTTCTTCTACCCATCCAAAACCATCTGTAGCAATCTCGGGAACTCCAAGAGCATTCGTTGCAATTGTGGCGACATCTTAGTCATCTCCCGTGATCGCCACAACATCGATGATAATCTCCTGTGATCTCGGCAATAGCGTTTCATCCATCTACAATCAGGGTGTCCACATTCTGGAAAGTCATGGAAAATAATTCTGGTCTTTGAAAGTCATGGAAATAGGCAAAAAGTCATGGAAATCACCAATGATGGATGGATTTCAGAGATCGTTTCAATGATCTAGTCGGCCGTTACCTCGACTCTTGTAGCATTTTTCAGAATTTTTCACAAATATACGACAATTCAATTTATACAGTTGTCTTAGTTTATGGGTTTTGAGTTTGTATTTAGTTCATTGTTGTACCTGTTGTACGCCATTGTTATCTGTTAATACGTATTTCAATATTTTCTGTCTAGGCAGTATTATTCGTGTGTTTATGGTATATTATAATTTTCTAGTAAAGTTCGTGAGTCATGGAAATCAATGGTTAATGGTCATGGAAAGTCAGGGAAATTAATGACAAAATTTCTGTGGACACCCTGTACAATTTTCTTGCTTAATTCGACTAAAATAAAAACTAATAAATTAGCTACGTTGGCTTTAATGGTAAATATTTGACAATTAAAATTTGGCAGTTCTATGTAAAATTCGTTATATTTTCCTTGTCATCAAAATATTTGTGTTATACTGTAGAACCTCAATAAATCGAATCCCAAGGGGAACGGGAAAACTTCGAATTATCGAGTACTTCGAATAATAAAGGTTCGATTTATCAAGGTTCATTCTCCCCAAAATTCGATTTATAGAGGTTCAATTCTTTGTTGAACGTACACTACGGCTCATAGCCATTTTTCAGTGGAAAGGTTATGGAGTAGCGCGAATGAAGTAAACAAAGAAATGAGTCATTGGCAGACACCCTCTCAGTTTTTTGCCCCTCGGCTACGACCCTTTTATTATTAGACGGGCACCTGTTCTCTTATCGCATGTTTGGAACTTTCACTTTTTACAATGAATGATGGGCAAATCAATATCAGAGGTCCGAAAAACTGACTGGTACCATCACATTAAATGTTTAGACTAAAGAAAATAAGCTTTAAATGTATAGATTTTAAAAAAATACCCCCGCCGCAGCAAACCTGCAGACTAAGCGAATTTTCATTAGCCTGATAGGATTTCACATTAAAATGCCTCCTTAAAAATATCATATTTATTCCCTATTTAAATAGAATTAGTTTAACGAGTACTTAGGTTTGCTACAACAGGGAGGGTAAAAAGATGTTTTTTTTTTATGTTAATAGTTTAGTAAGAAATGAATGTATTTTCCAAATTCGATCAAAATATGTTCATAAACAAGTAAACTACAGCAGTTGACTTATTCTCCATAAGAATAACATAGGGATTTTAAATTTACAATTTTTTGGAATTTTCTCTGTAACCATTAGGCGCACAATAACGCTTCAATATACTAAATTATTTGTTTTTTTAAGCTCTACAAAATGGTTTGGAAATAAATTGTAAAATTTTGTGTTTTTAGGGTCAAAAATGGGAAAAACCTATTTTTACCCCATAAAACCCCCCATAAACCCCCGTTCCCGTAGTCCGATCATGCTGGTTCGCGAACTCGTTCGAATAAATGTAGGTTAACACGTTTGTACCAAATTTCATCAAAATCGGATCATTTTTGTTCGAGTTATCGTGCTGACGGACACATATATATATATATATGAATTTGAACGGATGGTGTTTTTGGCCTCTAGGGACCTCAAAACAAAAAAAATAATCGGTCCCGGGTCCAGGTCTTACCATGAGTACTACGGTAATAGCTTATTCCCTATATGGGAAATTCGCTAAAAGCATGTTGGTATACTTTAAAACAGACCGGGAAATAAATAATAACTCGTTTTCAAATTCAGTACAGTATACGTATTTATTGAAATCAATGACAGTACAAAACAAAATCAATGTCAATGTATTTAACAAAACATACATTTGATTTTTAAAGAACATTTTAACGCAACTTGTACAAGTTTTCAATAGCCTACCGTACATTTACAAACTGCAAAAATGGAATACTTGTATAGTCATTTTATTTAATACAAATTGTGAAAATATTTACTGTATTTAAAAACAATGTGTCAATAGATAAAATATTTCTTAAAATCAAACGAAACTCAAAACGATGACTAACTGATGTACTGTATTGAAAATGGTTACAGTGTAAAAATGTTTACTTTACATTTACAGTGGAAAACAATATATTTGCTGATACAGTACATCATAAAACAGAGATAGGCTACAGTGTAAAAATACTGTATTTACTTTACATTTACAGTAGAAAACAAAATATTTGCTGATACAGTACATCATAAAACAGAGATAGGCTACAGTAGGAGCCTAAATGTTTGTATAGTTAATGATGTATGGTTAACTCCTTATACAGAAAAATATTCAGAAATTGTAGTTTGTCTACCTGTTAGAGTAACTTTGTCCAGCGCGTCGTCCAGTACAGAAATTGATTTAATTGTTTGGTCACTCATCATCGTCTTCTTTTGAAGAAATTTGCGCAAGACATCAATTGCACAACGCGCATCACTGAGTGTCGGGTCCGGGTCCGTTGCTTCGTTCTTGTCGTCCGCTTCACCCTCGTCGTCGCCCTCTCCTACATTATCTTCTAGACTTGGGTCTTGTGCAACGGAGGCGATTATATCCGCTTCACTTAGTGCCCCACTTGTCGCCACATCGTCATCAAAATTGACAAATTCCTCGAACGTTAGATCCTCAACATTAAGAGACCGTGTAACTTCATTCCAACGCGTCGGAGGCTCGAGTTCATTATTAGGAGGGTCATCAACCACACTGATATCCACATCTGTGTCTTCTGCATTTTCTTCGGGTTTCTGAGTGAATCCACTTTTCTTAAAACAATTTTCGATTGTTTTCTCAGATACATTATTCCAAGCCTTTGACGCCATCCACATTGCGTCAAGCACATCGATTTTTGTGGGGCTGTTTTTTTCTAGGTCACTTAGGAACCGGCGAACCACTTCTTTTCTATAAAACACTTTAAAGTTCTTGATGATTCCTTGATCTAGAGGCTGCAGTTTGGATGTCGTATTAGGGGGTAAAATCACGATTTTAATGTTTTTTAGCTTGGGTAAATCACCATGGGCTGTACAATTATCGATGAACATAAGAATTTTCTTTTTCTTCTTCTTCATATCATTATTAAGGTCTTTTAACCACTGGCCGAAAATTTCAGATTTCATCCAAGATTTAGGGTTTGAAGTGTAGTCCATCGGGGAAACTTTTTACACCTTTGAAACAACGCGGGTTTTTGGCCTTCCCAATCATTAGTGGTTTGAGTTTAACTGATCCAGTTTGGTTTGCACCAAGTAGCACTGTAACTCTCTGCTTACTATTTTTGCCTCCATGGCATGAGTCTCCTTTGAACGCTAATGTTTTATCCGGTAAGCACTGATAATAAAGTCCAGTTTCGTCCGTATTGAATATGTCGTCGGGTTTGTAGCCCTTTGTTAGATCGGGTATTTTTTCCGTCCATTCTGTACACAACTGATCGTCCACACTAGCACTTTCGCCCGTTATTCTATTAAAAACAATCTCGTTTCGTTTTTTAAAATTTTGTAACCACCCATTACTTGCCCGAAAGTTTGTTTTACCGAGTTGAATAGCAAATTCAACGGCTTTTTCCTGTAAAGTCGGTCCACTTACAGGTAAATTTTTATCCCGGCATTGTTTAAGCCACTGCAACGCACAATCTTCAATTTCTTTAGATTCCGGTCCTTTTATTCTCTTCGATCTTGATGCATTGCTTTCATACTTCTCCTTGTGTTTTAAAATGGTTGACAAAGTGTTGGCCGGTATACCAAACTGTTTAGTGATTTCACATTTTTTCTTGTCACCTTTTTCTACTGCTTCGATAACTTTTAACTTATCCTCGTAGGTAAGTGTCTTGTACGAATGTTTTGCCATGTTGGCTAGAAAAACTCACTAGCACTAAACACTCTATAAAGGAGACACTGTATCTAAACTACTCGAGTACACGCACATGACTGAGATAGATTGCAACAGGAGCGGAAGTTGGATTTCCTGTCGAAACACGACGCAGTAAAGTACAGTATCGATGTTTTGAATCATAACGAATTCCATACAACTTCGATTAATAGAGGGTTTCTTGCTAATACTTCGACTTGTAGAGGTTCGGCAGTTGCACGATTTTGAATTGTAGAGGTTTTTGGACTAAAACTTCGATTTATAGAGGTACTTTTATGACGAAAAATACCATAAAACTTCGAATTATAAAGGTGTTTCTCGTGAAATATTCGAATTGTAGAGGTAAAATTAACATTGCAATAGTTAGGGAAGTTCAAGGGGAATTAAAAAAATTCGATTTATCAAGGATTTCGAATTATTGAGGTTTGATTTATTAAGGTTCCACTGTATACATTCTTTCTAAAACTGTGATGGTAAACATGTTCTCACAAAGTTCATGGCTCTTTGTATGAAACCAAAATGTTTGTCCCTGACAATGATTGATTTGGTGTTTCAGTCATCTTGTTATTTCAGTAATTTAAAACCTCATTAAACCAAAATATAACGCTCACAATAGTAGTAATCATAACAACGACTCATTCTCTAGTTATATAACCTAACAGTAAAGCACAAATTGAGAAATTAAGGCTAAAATAATACAGTAGAAACAAAATTTTGTTGACACTAGCGCCAACGTACTTGACCTAGACATGAAAAACGAGCTTCAAAATTTACAATGGGATGAGAAGTCTACTTGTGTTGGTTTGGTTGGTACTCCAATCTTTACATTTTTATGGTCTTGTGGGTACAAAAAAATACCTTATAGTGTACTTACTTAGGGACTCAACTTAAAAAAAAATTAATTTGTCTGACTCTCCAGTTTACTTTGCAATTTTCTACTAATATTCCCTTCAATTGATGTACGGTACCTTAAATACCTGATGGCTTTTTAAAGAAAACGGATTTTGCAGGAACGAATCAGTCGCAAGAAGCAGGAGTTTGCAAGGATTGAACGAGATATTGAACATGAAGTTGAGCTGCAGGAGGAGCGTGATAGAGAGAAGCAAACTGAGGAAGACGTGGAGGAAGAAGACAGACAGGAACGAGGAAAAGATATGGGACAGGTAGAACCTAAGCCGGTTCATCTTGGTAAGTTCAGTAAATTTCTTTTAGAAAATATTTGAATTTTTAAGTGATAAATGAAAGAATGACAGAAAGATTATTGTGAATCAAAGTTTACAAATTATGTTAGTTTCTCTCTTGATTTCAATGTTTGGTATAGGAATTCAAAATAATACCAAAAATAGTACCGTATCACCTCTTGTGCCTGACTCGCCAAATTTTTTAACTTGATTTTTTGTGTTTTAAATTCCCAAGTTAATGTACTCGTGTTGCATTTATGAAACATCACATCACTGTTGTTTACCTCAACACTTTCTCTGAAATCTTGTTATTTTTCTTTACATCCTTAAAAATGTTCATATAGCCATTTCTGTGTGAAATATTAGTACATTTACCATTAATTAAGATTAACTAATCGAATCCGTTCATTTGATAAATGAATAATTTTATGATACATTTGCCCATTTTATGAACAGTAACTTTTTTTGTACAAAATATTTTGAAATCTTTAAGTGTTCAACTTTGGATTTGTTGAGGATTTACTGATTATTCAAAACCAGATAAAAAGCCTTTAACAAAAACTCATGCTGTAAAGTGTTTCTGTAGAAGAAAATATGATTATTTAATTTTCTCCTGTGTCCTTAAAATGCTCATATATTTTTCCCCAAGCTCATCATATCATTCTTTAAACTGGTTTGTACAAGATATTGTATTTAATGCATATGAATGTTCACAAAGTATTTTCAGTGAACATTTCCTGGTTGAGTAAATGTTAGTGATGGATTTTTTAGGTAATAGGGCCGAAGTTGAAGCAGAAAAACCAAAAGCAATCTCTGAGTTAAAATTTGAGCGAAGCAAATTGCAAAGCTTTACCCCAGAGCGGTCACACAAAGAGAAAGAAAGTTCAGTAGACTGCAGCGAAGATTCAAATTCTTCAAGCAAATCGTCGTCTTCTAGCAGATCTAGCTCGAGCTCTAGGCGTAAAAAGAGAAAATCTTCAAAGAGAAAGAAAGAAAAGAAAAGCAGTAAGAAGAAGCGGAAGAGGAGCCGCAGTAGGAGTAGCGATCGAAGGAAGTCACACAAGAAGTCTAGTCACAGTCACAGGTATGAGAGGGAGAGGTCACGGTCGAGGTCGAGGTCACGTAGCAGAGGTCGCGATCACTACCGTCGCCACTCCAGCGAGTCGTCACACAAACGTAGACGCCACAGCTACTCTAGGTCCCCGGATCATTCCAGGGGTAAGAGGTCTAGTCACAGAAGTCGAGACTGATCTCACCTCCTTCACAACAAGGTTGTATTTTTTATAATTTTTATTCCTAAGGTTGCACTGATTCTGCTTTTTGTATCTATCCTAGTTTATGATCACTTCATAGTCAATTGACTGAGTACCAAAAGATCCTTTCTTTGTGTTATGTGCCATATAAAACAATGAAAAAACTTTTATTGGTATTTACTAAACAATTCTACAACATGTTTCAGTGTTTCAGTGTTGAAAATTGTTGATATGAGTGTTATTAGAAATTTACCGAGTTTTCCTATGTTATCCTTATGTCAAATAAAAAAAATCTTTCCATTAGTTGTTAGCATATGGAAAGATTTTCATTTCTTTTCCTTTGGTTAATTTAAATTGTAGTTAAAACAATTGTTGTCTTCTAGCAGCAACCAAAGTATTTTTTGAGCCAATACTATTTGTTTTAAGGGTGACTATTGAGTAAATTTATGTATTTTTATGAATCTGTTTGTATCTACCGTAATTAATGAAATTGCAATAAACCAACAGGTAATTTGCTTCATTTTGGTGCTGAGGGTATTAAAATTTCATATGTAAGCAAGTTAATGTAAACGTCAACTCAACTGGTGCTTGTTAAATAAAGGTTAAGTAAGAAGGTCCTTCAAATCTTTTGGAACTTATTTGAGCCATAATTAGTTAAGGTTTGTTGATTTGTAACGTAATCGTTACATGGGCATCCATCAATATGGGATCTGGGGGCGGTAAGAAAAATTTTGTTAATAAGATTCCACATTAACAATGTTTTTTTTGACTGTGCAGTAAAAACATAGAGGTTAATTTACGCATATGACCAAGAAGTTTAGGTCAATAATGTGTAAAATCATACATGTTGTACCTATATTTTAACTATTTTTCAGGGGAGACTGAGACTCTCCTTTTTACTGGGTTTTGTTTCGTACCCTCCAGACCGTCATGAGTTAGATGGACGCCCATGAACCGATTACAGGTTTTTAAGTACCCATGCTTATTACAGAAAATTCTGTTTCAGGTTCCAAAAGTGAACTGTGCACGACTCTATTCCAGTTAATTTGGATTGGAAACCTTTGGTGAAGAATGTGCGATGATAATCTTAGTGACTTATGTTTATTTCAAGTTGTGTTTTGACATTGTACATATGGAGTCATGCTTGTATGTATGTAGTTATATAAGTTAGATTTAACGTTTTTAAAGTTTGCATGGGGAACGTCAATATTGTTATTGAATACAGACTGTCAACTTAATTTTATGCTTGCCTTAAAGCTCACTTTGAAGAAAGTGTTTGTTCTGTTAGAATTTTGAGCTAAAGTGAATATTGGAAAATTTATTTTTTATTTTATTATAACAATTCTAGTATTTTTCTATTTTCCAGTCCAGTCTTGTTATGTGTTATCATTTTAATGTAAAATGTGCCAAAAGTCCAAGAAGTGTTATTAAAGTACAGATCTAAGAACGTCTTCTGTATATTTTACATATGTTAAATTTAGGTGAAACAAACCTAAAAAAATTGTGATATTAATTCAGTTAATTAACCAATATCTTTGTATCATTTTCTTGCATAATTTGATTCTGAATTTTAAAGATTCATCGCCTTTTACTGAAGAATTATTTTAACACCTCGCAGGCAAATTCAAAGCGTCATAAGATCTGTGTTTAAAAAAATTAGTATCAAAGATTCCTTATAGGCTATAGAATTTTTTTTAATATATCCCTGGAAGTCAAAAAAATTGATGCAAAAGTCGAATTTGATCATTTATTTATTAGCCCATTAAATTGGCTATGTCACTGAAATGTTAGTTGGAAGACTGACTAGGTATAAACTGGCATACTTTTGCGGTTTTTAATTTATTGTTCCCTTTTTTACTAATGGCAATAAGTCAATCTTAATAATTGTACATTCAGAATCCACCAAATGTTTCTGAGGTATTGTATATTACTTGTTTCCTTCTGTTTTCCTTTGTAAAAGTTGACTATGCGGCTGTGTAGCACATAGCCTGTTACATTATTTATGTGTACATAGTTGATCTTTTATTACTTTAAATATGTAAAGTTAAAAGTTACTAAATAATATGTTGTGTTTTATTTCACTCCCTTACAACAGTAGCTTGGAGGTACTACTATTTCTTATAGCTCATTTTCTTTTCTTATTAAAACATTTAAACTTAAGGGTGCGCTCTACCTCAGCTCGGGCTTCATTAGTTATGTTGTGCCATTCCTAAGTCCTCTCAAATAACTCAGTTAACTTTTTAAATTGTGTTTTATCTGAAGAAGGTTCCTTACTCCTTACTTTCAAATCTATGACTCTCTGGCTTTAATTTCCATAAAAAATAATAATTTTCATGATTAAAATGGTTTAGAAAAAGCTTATTTTGAGGTATTTACCAGTCACTGCACACTTAAATTTCTAATATTAGCACTAAATCATAACCATACAAGGCTACAAAAATAAGAAATGAATAAATTAACATAAATGTATTTTCAATCGGTTAAGAACTAAGTCGACAATTATGGAGATCCTAAACTCTTGCATTAGCGGGCGGAGGACAGGTAGAGCGCACCTTTAAATTGCATCAAGTTGTGGTGTACCATGAAAATAATACCAACCATTTTGACCAGTTTAATATACTTTTTATCTTTTATTATCATTATTTTATTATTTTTACAAAACTAATAACAATTTTCAATTGTTTCCGATGTCATGTTTTAGCCTGTGTTGATTATTTAATTACCTGTGTTAAAAAAAAAACTATTCCATTTGTTTTTTCGTTGCTGTAAAACTTGTAAATTACTTTGTAGTCTACCAAAAGTGGCTATTTTGGATAGGGGCTGATATCATAGAAAGTATAATTCTTTTCCCTTGCTCTAAATTTACTTTCTCTTGTCTTTGATTAATTCTCCATTCACCACGTGCACTAGTGTTTCTTTATAATTATGTTACAATTTCAATCCTCTGTTTTTACTCTTCATTGTTGAAGACTCTAAACAATATAAATATAAACATGTGGTATACATAAGAGGTTTTCACCTTACAAGTGAAATTTGGTGTTCTATTAAATGGGCTTTGCCTCACACGTAAATCTTGAGAGTCCACTGGAAAATGCCACTTTCAGTACTTGTACTGAAATATACTATTCCAGTACCTACCTTATAATGCACCAAAGTTATAGTAACATATTTGCCCATAAAAATACTCTAGACCATGAATCTGGTAAAGAAGAACTTCTAGAAAACAGTCTGGTGACGAATCTGTTCGTATTTAAAATTAGTAACTTTGTTATTCAGGCAGATATGTGTAAGAAATGGTGCATATTTATACAAAATGGTTATTAGGGATGGTGAGCTATTGAAAGATTCTTCAGTGGGCAGATTTCGTGTTAAAAACTATTTGTTTTTCAATTTGGGCTGAATCAACAAAACTTGCATTAGCGCTGTCAAAAAAAAATCAAATTGAGTCAATTATAAGTATAACAAACTTCTTACTATGAATAACTATAAACTACAGTGGCGTAACTACAACAACTAACAAGAATGGTTTGGGGGGGGGGGATGGATGAAATCCAAGTCCACACTCACGAAAAAGGGGTTTTGGGAAAGTTTAGAAAAATTAGTTCTCCACTCACGTTTTCAGGGGACTATTAAAACAACTGAAGTGCAATAACTTAATTATTTATTACAAAGGTTGGTACACAAAATGCATACAAAATAATAAAGCTTACAGGAATGTAAATAGTTATAGAAATCTTAAATAAAAAAAAATAAAATCGAAATAATCAATAGAAAACTAAAATGCACTCCAAACTAAAACCTCGCTTATCCCCAAAGGTTCAACGTTAACTTAAATAAGCACTATTAATTAATGCAACATTTATTAAGTACGTATTTATTATATACGTAGTAAGAACGCCTTCGTAGAGTAAACGCAACAACAAGCGCGCTCCTGTATTGCTATGCATTGACTTTCTGAAGGCGTTAAACTACATTTTTTATAACAGTCTCAAAAAATTCTAGGAGTAAAGTTAGTCCCACTCGTACAATTGAGACCCGTCCATCCCTAAAAATAAATAAATATATCTTAAACCAAATATTTTTTTAATGCCCAGAAATATTTTCAACTTATTAAAAGAATGATATTGGGTCAATTTGCTGAATACAAAAATCCAACAAACATTTTTAATACAATAATAGAGATCTGGAAGTAGAATATTGAAGAACTGCTTTACACCTTGTGATGAAATCACAGATAAATAACTTAGATTTAACTATGAAAAATTATTAGTTATCACTTGAATTGTACTATCAATGATTGAGCTGTCTCATTGATCATTTAGTACTTGTTTGACTATTAAGCAATGTTAATAATATTTTCCTAGTAACTTTAATGCATAATGGTTTAGTACTGGTATAATTTACTTAAAACAAAAAGCTTCTTTCTGCAATATAGTAGTTAATGAATCGGTTCTCTGATAATACGGGAATCAATAAATTTGTTTTGGCATTGCAGATAATTTATTGTGAAATGTACATTGCACTTTGTTAGTATATCTCAGTTATATGTAGTGCCGTTCATTTGCCAGTATTCCTCGAAAAGTGTTCTATTAGGTATTAAACGTATATATGAAACGTCATTACTATAGGTATTTATTTTAGTACTTTTTAAATAATGATAAATTAGGTAATTAAGGTAGCCTATCTAGTAGATTTCAATAATATTTTGACAGTCATTACTCATTAGTCATTATAATGGTATAGCGCAATATTAAGGAGGAAGTTGGAATAGTTGTTTCATTTGTTGAATTAAAAATAATGGCACAAGTGAAAAACAGCAACACAGTAATTAAATCGGTAAATAATAAACCAAAGAAGGTAATTGTTATAGGAAGCAAAATTGGTTACTTGGTTATTATTTTGTTCCTACAAATGTGAGGAAACTGGAATTTTCACAGAATATTATCAAACCCTACTTCATGAACTGTGCAAAGTTTCAAAGATTTCGACCCATAGACTATATAATATAAAATTAATCGCCTCAAAACCTCTTCTTGGGACACCCTGTACAGGTGGATATGTCTACTTCAGAATCCAAAAGTCAATGGTTTAATCCCCATTGCTATGATTGTATATCTGATTTGCACAGCTGATATGTTCAGTGTGTGTCATTGTTGCGACAGACGGTATCAACAGCTGTTTAGTGTGGACTGTGGCAGGTAGGCGGAAGTGTTTTGGGAGGAGTCTGTCAGTGTGCAGTTCAGTGTAGTGTCGGTTCGCGTTGTGTCGTGCGGAGTTGGGTGTGTAGTGTTATCAGTGGCTTATCACTTACCCGTACTGACCATCTGCTGTTATCATATGTGTGTCACCAGGTAGTATAGATTATTTCGCCATTTGGCTTTTAATTTCTGGATGCTCGTAGGAGGGATATTGTTTAGATTTTTTATTTATTAAAATGTTATGAAGTAGAGGGTTATTTAAATTGTTGATAAACGTGACTTAATGTTACGATTGTGTGCAAAAATTTAACGGAAACAAAGGGAAACTTAACGCTTTGTTCGATTTGAAACTAATTTAATAGTGACGAATTATTTGCTCAAAAATGTTGGAATAATACAAAACAATTTCATTTTAGTGAAATATTTTCACCTTATAAATACATATTTTGTCACTTTATAATTGTGATTACAGTACAGTCTAATTAATTTGTAATTGTTTACCAAAACATAATATCGCTGAACATAAGAAATAGTGGATTTCGAGGGAAAGTGTTTCTTTTAAACGATTTTTCTATACTTGTTATTGTATAATTTTGCACATTGTATCGAATTTACGATCCGATATGTTTGAAGCTGTAAATTTTACTTGACTAAACTAATAATTGTTTAGTTTTATTGTAGTTCCTTCTTTTACTCCACTGAAAGCTATTTTCTATTACTGTATCACGTAAATTTTCGATCCTAGAGTTGCAAATATCTGATGAAACCACACTCAATTCTTTCGTGCCTCAAACCACATAGAACAAAATTTCATTACCCCTGTATTTTCTCTATAAATTTGGTTTCTCTGCGATTTAACTGTATCAAGAGCATGCGCACACAAACAACCCAAACCTGTACACCAACAGAACCGTGACAATCTAACTGCTGCTTGATTTAGAATGAACTGTTGCACTTGGACGACTGCCTGATTGAGCTAGTTAATGAAGACACTTGTAAGCTGCTAGATAACAAGACAACTAACTATATAGCAATATCTCGTAAATGTAGAAACCTGCTGTCATGTCAAACGCTTTAACTCTGCATGTGTTTTATATCCAAAGATTTCCAAAAAGTTGTTCAATTTGTTATGTTGTTCAATTATATGTACGTCTGGAGAAATGTTTTTGAGGTAGATTTACGGTTGTTCTGGAGAAAATATTTTAAATTTTAGGCCTCCTAAAACTCTTGCATGTTTATGTGGAAAATGCACCAAGAAGCCCTTGATAACTAGCCTATAGTATGTATGATAGAATCTGTCTACCTGGAGGCTGGCCAACGGCATAGGATAGTCACATGTAGACTCCGGTCTGAAGACAGGTTTTATTATACAGACTATAATCATAAACGTATGATCCTGAAGTAGCAACTATAAGCTACAAATATCATCTCACTCTGTTCTACCTTCGTGTTTCAATAGTTAGCTTAAAATACAGCGTAAGTCGTCCTAGGGAATTGATTTGATGACATTTTTATAAAATACCCCCGCCGCAGCAAACCTGCCGTCTAAGCGAATTTCCATTTGGCCGAATTGATTTTCAATTGATCTATTTAAATAACATTAGGTTGAACGAGTACCTAGGTTTGCTGCTACAAGGAAACTAATAAAGTAGTGTGTTTTTAGTAAAATATTGATAGCTTACTATAAAATAAATAAATTTGCCAAGTTTGATCAAAATATATCCATAAACAAGCAAACTACAACATTTTACAATATTCTCCATAAGAATAACATGGGAAATTTAAATTTACAATTTTTTTAGTTTTCTCCGTAACCAATAACCGTACAAAAACACTTTGATATACTGAATTGTTTGTTTTTTTA